TCAGTGTGAGGATGATGTTGGACAACATTTGGGTCGTTTGGCATTCGTTGTACGTGTGTGGGCGTGCTTTACCTTAGCAGGGAATTCTCCGTTTTGGGTTGTTGCTTGTCAGCTCCACACGCTTTAGGACTTTTCCTTTCTTTTTCTTTCTCGGGGCGCCTTGAGGGAAAGTTGTCGATGTAGTCGAATATAGCGAGGCTTGATGGAGGCGCCTCAAACACTCTCTAGGGGGGAAGAAATCAAAACGGGATGCAAGAACCCTTATCCCCGGACTTAATCAGCGCCGTAAATGATATTGTCATACAGGAATTTGCATGGAATCCAAATTTAATCTTACGTTGGGCCCGATGTCGTAGTCGGTGACGGTCATGGAAAAAAGATCAGGCGACGACAAACCCAGATGGGATCGCAATAGTGAGATCAGGCCTGAATCGGACAACTGTTCTGGTAGCTCACTGAATGGAGGCTCGGACTCTTCAATGCAAATAATACACAATGAGCTCATTGTGAAAATAATTTCAAAAGACTTCTTATTAAAAAAAATAAAATAGGAAGGAAGCAGGACGACATCACTGTGTTGAGAAAATGAGGATATTTTTGTTGTATGTTGCTGTGGGAACCCATGTCAATTTTAGAATTAAAAAAAAATAGTCTGAAAATAATATTCTTGTCGTGTTATCTGTCATAAATACGACTAGACGAGGACCGCGAAATGCGTGCCGAGCCGTCCTACCGAGTTGCGGGTGCTGCAACGTGAGGGTGGCGTCGTTGCCTTTGCCCACGATGGTCGCCACGGTGACCTTGCGGGTGGCCAGCTCACAGCGCTGCTTCTCGTTCTCGTCGCTCTGCTGCACGTACAGCGTTGCGTCGCTGCTCGGGGTTGAGATTAGCTTCCACCACGACAACAAACACACACACACACACACACACACACACACGATCAAGCACCGTAAACTGTACAGCACGTGACGCTTAAGGTATTCTTACCATCAACCTTCTCTTCCCCTTTAAATGATCCAGAAAGTCTTTCAAGGCATTTTTGTCCTTCTCACTTGCTTCTTTATGAGATTTCTTGCCTCTTCCTTTCCCTTTCTTTCCCTTTTTCCCTTTGCCCTTTTTTTTGGATTTTTCTTTTTGCTCATTTTCCTTTTTACTCTCCTCGGCGTGTTTTTTAGGCCCTCTGTCCGATGTGGCGTCAGGCCTGCATAACAATCGGGACAAAGGGGACACGTGATGTAAAATGGTGGCTTCATGCGAGCGCCATTCACTCGCAGTTTGGACATGGAGGGGTGAAATCTAACAAAGACGAATGTTTTGTCGGATGCACCCTTGTCCCCCCCCCCCCACCACTACTTGGAACGGTAACATAATCCGTACTTGCTATTGGCCAAGCAGTTTGTTGAGTGCCATGAAAGCTGGTTTACAAGAAATCATATGTTTCGATTTTTGGTCCTTGTTAGTTTTGGTGACAGTTTTGTATTTGAGAGTGAATGTAAAAGAAATCTGAAATGAAATCACCGTTCTTGCTTCACTTCCTCTTTTCCTGTTGACACAGCAGGAGGACGCTGTGTATTCTTCTTTTCTTCTTCCTGTTTGCCACCGCCAGCAGCGCCGCCGTCACCGGTGGACTCCTTTCTCCTCCCAGCCGGCACTTTCCAAATAACAAACCTGGACTTGCCGCTCAGAATGTCTTGGATCTTACTCTTCAGCACGGCTTTTTTGTCCATCCGGGGCTTCCTTCGCAGGGTCACCTCAGAGGTCCGGTTGCTTTTCCTCTGAGGACTCAGAATGATCTTCTTCTTCTTCTTCTTCATCATCTTTTTCCTTTTCACCACAACTTTCTTTTTCGTGCTTTCACACCTGGGAAATTGGGAAACAATGCTCACATAAAGCTTGAATATTTTCTTTTGTAATGGTACCGTATTTGCGCACTATAAGGGGCACCTAAAAGCATTCAATTTTCTCAAAAGCCGACCGTGCGCCTTGTAATCCGATGCGCCTTATATATGGATCAATATTCTGATTCCTTGGACGCAGTCATTTAAATGTTCCGTAAAGCGCTTTGTTGTGGCTGCAGCGGTTTTGAAGGCTCTGTATAAATAAATCTGTATTGTATTGTATTGTTTTCACTTGAGCGTAGCTCCATCTAGTGGATGTATAATGCAACTGCAGCCACGATTGTAGCTTCTATTCGATGCGCCTTGTAACGCGGTGCACCCTATATATGAAAACAGTTTTAAAATAGGCCGTTTATTGAAGGTGCGCATTATACTCCGAAGCGCCTTACAGTGCGGAAAATACGGTACAAAGTGTTAACGCAGAACCTCATTTTGGATCCTTTTCTGGTTATCTTCTCCAGCTTCCTCATGGGCAATTGATCAATGACCTCCAAGATCGCCTCTACCCGAACCGGGTAGGGGAACCGCTCGCTGACTCTCAGGTTTTTTTTCAGCACCAACATGTGAAACGCTTGGTCCTGAAACGAATAAAAAAGATTGGACCATTACGGGTCGCCATAGCACATCATGTTTTTTGCCATATGAGTGGACCGTTCCTCATCGCGCAGATATAATTGTCTTTATTCTTTTACCTGGGTGAGCTCAAGATAGTGCAGCAGCTTGGTGACAGTGTCAGGGTCCAGTGTCTCCACCGTGGCCTCTCCTTGAACGGTCGTCTTCTGGATCCTTCCTTCCATCATAGCGTTTTGGATGACGGTGACGATGAAAGTGTCTCTTTCGGCCAGACGGCAGTTTAGCGATTTCTGAAGGAGACCAAAAAAAAAACAAAAACATCTGAGCACCTGCACAAAGCCCATCCCTTGTTTCACGATTCAAGAACCTGATCCATGTCTTCCAGCTGTTTCTCCATCATACGAAGGTAGTGGTCATTGTAAGTGGGCGCTGTTATTACCCACAGTCGTTTTTTACCTGCGGGCGAGAAAAGAGAATGGCGGGTGCGCATCTACTCGTGAAATAAATTGTTGGCTGAGTAGGAGTCAAGTGCAAGTCTTCTTGAGCAGGGGGACCCGACGGCTGCTCCGAGATTTCAATCCATTACGGCGCCATGTTTACCCAACGGATTTCATTGGGACTGAAACATGACTTCTGACGCAACCAAATATTCCAAACATGCATCCGTTCTATTTTGCTTGCCTGCATAGTCGGAGAGAAAATCTAAATCGGGAGCGAGGCTCGATGACGATCCCCAACCCTCTCTGTTGTCGTGTCCATGTCGTCTGTCTTCATTCAGGCCCAGTCCCAGCGCCGTTCCCGGGGGGAGATCCGAATAGTCTCCCCAGTCCTTCACATTGGGGTCCAGCTGGCTTTTGGACTTGCTGGAAGTGACTTTCCGCCGCGCGGCCAATGAGCTTGAGTCACTGAAGCTCCACAGGGCAGCGACGAGAAGCCAGTGTGTGCAGAAGCGGCAAAACATTCTCACTGGTTGGTCAGACAACTCATAACATTCATTCAAGCGTTGCTAGAACAAGCTGTCAAATGTCACACCGAAACAAGCCAAATGCATGAATCCATGTGAAAAAAAAATGCAAATAATGTCGCCGTCATTAAGGTTGGGAAAAACTAGGGAATAAGATCGCAAAAGGACAAAACAAGACTTAACGTGAGACCCTCAAGCCTGCAGACAGAGTGAGGACGGAGACCTTCCTCTCTCTTTCTCCACATTCACTCCTGGTTTGCATTAGGCTGAGGCTTGTTAACACGGTTGGAATTTTCTTCAAAGGCTTGTGCGCCTCACACACACACACACACACACACACACACACACACACACACACACACACACACACACACACACACGACCATCATAACATATCAACTTTAAATCACCATACGAAACACTATTGTTGTATTGTTGCATCAGCTCATTCTGGCGTGGCGTGCAAAAACGTAACTGTGCCAAATAGTTGCAGATGGCGATGGGAAGAAATGTTCAAACAAGAAAACAGACATCCTTACTATACATTCCTCTCCCTGAGCCACATAAGCAAGTCCAGATGAATGGTGCCGGGGAAGAGCGTTTATCCTCACCATGACCTTTTGTTTTTATGTGAACATAAAATCCATTGGTTGCAATTTGCGTTGAACATCAAATCAAACTCACCTTGGAAAAGGTGCAATGGCTACTCATGCATTCATTATATCAAACCTTTTTTTTTTAAACCGAAAAAAAGTGACAATATTACGAAGACCTGCATATAATTCTCTCAGAAGGTGTGTGGGGATACGAAGATAGGTAGAAACGGCAAATGACAATGCTTGTACACTGTAATGTTGGAATGCGCTGATCCCACCAATATTTTGCCTTTTTCTGCAAATTGGCTGCAAATATCGGTCATCAGCCTCCATGTTTGCTAATAATCAGTACCGGCCCTGGAAAAAAAAACATATTGGTCTGTCTCTTAGACATACATACAGAGAGTCCATACATATGTTATATACATTGTACATAAATAAACATGTATGTATTGTTCGTTAAACTATTGTAATCAGTATTACATGTTTGCCATTTTAAAAAATAGTGAAACCAAACACTTTCCTAATTGGTTAAATAATTAATATAAATCATGCAAACTAAACTTAAGTGGTTCTTTTTTTCAGAAAAAGCTTCACTTTGCCCGCAGTGCAATTGCCATTTCATGATTGTATTAAAATAAAATGATTTAAAACATCAGAAACGGTCAAACAGCGCCTCCAAGTGGATGAGTGACGGAATTCATTTTCAGATTTATATTGTGAGATGTATTTATTTATATTGTAAATAATGTAATATTCTCCTCGTTCATATTTTATTTCTGATAAGGAATAATTTGTAACAATGGGATACAATTGCTCCCAGGTTGTAAGATGATACATGGATTAATCTCACTTGTATGGAATAAATTGCTCAACATGATCGTAACCGTGTCACTATGTTGGAATAGTGTTCCCAAAAGCATAAACGAGAGTTTGCACATTTAGACGAGTTCGTCCATCCTCAAATGCTCCAATGATATTCCGGCCGCTTCGGCTGACATCTTCCGGGTCGCCTCAAATTCGGCCGTGCACACTAAAAAAGACACCGACGAGACCCCTGCAAAGGTCAGTGGACTTTATGACGTCAATCCCTGTTGTTTTTGAATGTTTTTCAACGTGCGTTCGTGTCGTGCAGCCACACGCGTACGTGTGCGGGCCTTTCCGTTCTTTTAAATTTCACTCGCTGCCCTTCCAGTGCGCGAGACAGATGTGCATTTTTCAGCGGCTAGCATGCTAACTGCTAGCTAGTCCCACTACGTGCACGCCGGCCAGAGGACACAATCAAATAAAATAAAAAAAAACATTAATGGATGAATGTCGCTGTGGCTCGCGTGAGCGTGATACCATGGACCTTCTAAATGGAAACGTTTTCCGTTTCGTGCTTAAACTTCTCAGGTCGTCTGAATGACACTGTCAATGTGGCATTTGGAAGCCATTGAATGAAAGTCATATTTTAAAAAAACGAATTGAAATTTGCATCCGTCAATACGCTGGACTGTAAGAACTAACTGCCTCCGTTCCGCACTTTTATTGCGTGACATTTTCAGCAGAAGCAACTAGATTTATTTTTTCTCCACAAGGTCGTGAATTGCTGGACGTGTTGGTGACGTGTTAAGTTTCATTCATTTTGGTGACGACGGTTAAAATGATGACGTGCTAGAACGCGGCACCATCTGGCAGGTTAACCTGCTGAATTTGATCGATCGATCCATCCATCCATTCATCCATCCCACTAAACGTTATCTGTAGCCTATGTCTATCTGTCGATCCATCATTTGGATAACTTCATTACTTGCTGAGAACTTAATCGAACTGTACCTAAACGTGTCCTTTCATTGCAAAGCATATCAGGGTTAGACATTCTGTGTTAATTCCCCTCTGACAACATATTGATCCTCTGGCTAATTTCGAATCAAGTTGACCAATATGGGTCACCTCTCTGACATGACAGCGTTAAGGCGATTGAGTTCATGTATGAATGGTTGTTATTGTTGTCGGTGCTACAATAAAGGATACTGGATATTTTAATGCTAAAACTAATAATGTGACGATGCACATTTTATTTAAAAAAATCAGGATTTCCCATTGGCAGTGTGATGTGAATTAATGTGAATGCGCCAGCTCTCCTGTGACCCTAATGAACAATAAACAAGAAAAAAAAAACCTGTACATGGATGAATTAATGTTTCAAAAGCTCAAACGATTATTATAACACCTTGATTAAAAGTGATGTATAATTTTGTCCCTGGTTGGGTCAGCTCCTCTAGTGTGGCATGGTTTAATTTTTTTTAATTAATTTAAAAAGCGTTATTTATGTACAGTATTTGTTACCAAAGTTCTTGTCCAGTGTCTTCTCATTTACCCACGGTGCTTTTCCTTCTTCGCCAGGAGGAAGTGCTCTCTGCGCGGCTGAGCTCCTACTGCTGTGTGTGTGCGAGCACCATGGCCAGCCTCCTACGCGTGCTTGCGGCTGGCTGCTCGGCCCCTGTCCTCAGCGGGGTGTCTTGTTTAAAACTGCAACATGCCCCAACTATCAAAACAACATGCGTACGATTTTTCAGGATCAATCACGCCCTCGGAAGATGTGCCAGTCCAGGTAGTGTAAAATGCCACAGATGAATTGTGCTCATTCGTAGGGCATTTGCTGCTGTGACAATCAAATTTTGATTTCTCCCTTATCTATCTCGTACGAAATATGAAAAAATATAGATCGTAAATGGTATTAATGGCTGCACTCTTTGAAAAAAAACGGTTGCTGAGCTCAAGTGCACCTTTGTCGTCTGCCCTTTTGCCTCTGCAGGAATTCCATACAAACAACTCACAGTTGGCGTCCCAAAAGAAATTTTTCAAAATGAACGGCGTGTGGCGCTCTCTCCCGCTGGTGTCCAGGCGCTTGTCAAACAGGGCTTCAATGTTGTCGTGGAGACCGGCGCGGGAGAGTCTTCAAAGTTCCAAGATGAGCAGTATGCCCAGGCTGGAGCTACAATGAAAGACCTTAAAGATGTATTTGCAGCCGATGTGTTGGTCAAGGTAAGCCCTGCGTTGTCCAATGCCCTTCATTTGGAAATTAACATGCTGTGCATCCTTTACAGCTAAGGGCTCCAAAGGATCAGCAGTAAAGAAAGCTCATCCCTTCCAAATCATCTGCTTTCAGGTCCGTGCTCCTGTTTTCAACCCGGACTTGGGCATCCATGAGGTCGAGCTGATGAAGGATGCGGCCACTTTAGTCAGCTTCATCTACCCGGCTCAGAACCCCGAGCTGATGGACATGCTTTCTCAGAAGAAAGCCACCGTCCTGGCGATGGACCAGGTGCCCCGAGTCACCATCGCCCAGGGTTACGATGCCCTCAGCTCCATGGCGAACATTGCAGGGTGGGTACATGGCGCCTTCAATGGCAGCTGGTGACAATACAGTTGGTCCTCCATTTACATTATATCATTGTGTCAAAACAAAAAAAAATTAAATGCATTTCATTCCCTCTTTTCGTTAGGTACAAGGCTGTCGTGCTAGCTGCGAACAACTTTGGGCGCTTTTTCACAGGACAAATCACTGCAGCCGGGAAGGTGCCACCCGCTAAGGTGCGTGTATTCTGTATTTGTCGTGACCTTTAATTGCTACTCTTTTATTAACGTTTTTCTATATGAGCATGTAAAAGGTCACTTAAGACAGTTCTCATTCACAATGGTGACCCGCGGAAGGAGCAGCGTAATTAAATGCTCTTGAACCGATTTCAGTCTGAATATTAGAAACTGTCATGTTGAAGATGTCACATGACCGCAGGGTGTAGTGGCTTGTGGACCTTCGGAGAAAACGACCGAAATTCAACAGAATTTAAATCAATGAGGGTCTTGGAGATCAGGGTCAACCAGTACGTGTGTTTCTCTGCGGAGAGGGCGAATCGGTATTCACGTACAGATCAGAGTGATGTCAGGTGACGGGCACTCGGTTAAGAAACGCAAAGTACGGGATTAGTCCAGGGACTGAAAACATTTAGCGGAATTGCTCAAAGATTACTATTAACATTGCTTTTGACACATTTTACACAGATTGTTTCAGTAAATACAGAAATAAAATGAGCCCTAAGATTGAACCTTGCGGCCCCCCTCCATTAGGTGCTAATCATCGGTGGCGGAGTGGCTGGATTAGCAGCGGCCGGCAGCGCCAGAGCCATGGGAGCCATAGTTCGAGGCTTTGACACAAGGTGTGTTTCTCTTTCATACATTTCACACACACACACACACACAAGCAAGCTTACGATTGGCTGCCGTCATTTTCTCCCGCAGGGCTGATGCTTTGGACCAGTTCAAGTCTTTGGGCGCCGAACCGCTCGAGGTGGACTTCAAGGAGTCTGGAGAGGGCCAAGGAGGCTACGCCAAAGTGATGTCAAAAGAGTTCATTGAGGCCGAGATGAAGCTGTTTGCCAAACAGTGTCAGGAGGTGGACATTGTCATCAGCACCGCGCTCATTCCCGGTATGCACGGAAACTGTGTTCTAAGCAGTACCGTATACTGTGTCTCAGGGGCCGACCGCGGGACATATTTTGCAACCTCACTTCACCCCTACTTACAAGATTCGATCATGATGTGACCACAAATGTATCGTGGGTTCAACAGCTCCTTGTTTTCACGTGTCAGGTAAGCGGGCCCCCATCCTTATCACCAAGCCAATGATAGAGAGCATGAAGGATGGATCGGTGGTGGTGGACCTGGCCGCTGAGGCCGGTGGAAACATCGAGACCACAGTCCCGGGGGAGCTGTCTGTACACAATGTGAGTGCGCCTGAGAGTTACTCAGTCATTACGAAGACAAAAAAAAAATCTCAGAAGTGTTATTGCTCTCGTTTTCGCAGGGTGTAACCCATATTGGGTACACAGACCTGCCCAGCCGCTTGCCCACGCAGTCCAGCACGCTCTACTCCAACAATATCACAAAACTGTTGCGCGCCATCAGTCCAGACAAGGACAACTTTTACCTTGATGTGAAGGACGCGTTTGACTTTGGGACCATGGATCACGTTGTCAGAGGCTCTGTTGTCATGCAGGTACGAAATGTGTGCGTGTCTTTGACATTTCTCGCAATCCTCTTGAGTTTGATACTTGTGATTGAGAACGATGACTCCCAAGCGCCGTATTGCAGCCGATTAGCGTGTGGTGATAGGTCATCGGGTGTTCTGTGGGAAATTGTCTAATACCACTAAATTAGTCAGAAAATGATTCGTTATTGACTGCAAATAATGTATCTTCGGGCATTTGTCTGTCAGCCGTGTCGTGACAGACGGAACAGTTAAATGCTGTTCCACTAAATGGTCGAAGGTACAAACAAACTGTGAATCTCCGACTCTTTCAATTAAAAAAAAAAAAAACCCAGAATGATCGCTTTTGGTCAACAGGCTCCTGGGGGGGTGCTGCGAGATTTTTGCAAGGGCAAAGCAAGAATGTGTATCTTCCTCTCATGGTCACTAGGTGTCGCCCTCACAACAAGTTACAGTTTGTGATTCCCAGACAAAGCTGACCCTCAAATGTAACTACTGTTGTTTACATTTGTATGGCAATATCCCACTTTACAGATCTCTCTCTCTCTCTCTCTCTCTCTCTCTCTCTCTCTCTCTCTCTCTCTCTCTATCTCATTTGTGTAGCAAGCAATGAAAAGCAGACTTATCTTTGTATCAAAAAAAAAAATGCAAGCATCTATTTTTACTTTGGAAAAACAATGATCAACATTTTTGCCCATTTTCTATTTTCCAAACCAGTAACTGAATCTTTTTTTTTTTTAACGTTGGGATGGAAATTAAAACTTTTTTTTTTTTCTATACAGTTCACCGACCAAGCGACAAATATCCAACATGTTGTTTGAGTTATTTGACACACTTGAATGTATTCATCGCTCCATTTTCTCTCGCGTTTATCCTCAGTTGGGGCACCGTGATGTCGATAAATTGCTGAGCCCAAATTATACGAGTGACATCTTTAAGTACACTGACTGCCGTTTCAGAAGATCTCCTGTTTTTTATTTTACACGGTGTTAAGTACCGAGTTGACCGCAACAAAGGTGAAATTGTAGGACGCAAGTATGATGTGTAGTTTTACAGCACTACGCCAACTGTCTTTTTTTTTTTTAATCTTAATTATCTCCGATAGTGTCAATCAAAGCGAGTTATTGGCCTCCTTCAAGGTAGACATGCAGCGCTCCTATTAGATTGTGGGCGTGTACCTAATGTTGTGGCCAGCGAGGGTTCAGTTACAGGCTTTGAACTGAAGCGTGACCTCTGCTTTCATTACCAGTCATGGCAGAGCTGATGCATAGCTGATCGTTTTTCCGACCGCACTTTGTCATCCATCCTCATCATATTGTTGGGAAGCTTCTTGTGCTTTAATCAGTTTTGGGCCGGCATCTAAAAGTTTCTTTCCAGTAAACAAATGATCTGCAGTCGACTATTTTATCCGTATTTATTCACTGAACATGTTGCACAACCTATAAATGACGCGATCGTAACAGATATTACCATGCGTGCCATTAGTTTGCCTACACGGATGTTTTTCGTCTAATGTTACATAGATTGAGGTCATCGGGACTGAAGAGGAAACCAAAAGTTCAGGTTATCGCTGAATAAATGTTGGCAATAAATTACCGCTATTCATATCACGGATTTGTTTTCTTTCCTTGTAATTTTTCCTCATTTTTCTCTTGTGCCTCACTTTGTGTTCATTTGTTTTTTTTTTTTCAGAATGGAAAGATCCTCTTCCCGGCACCTCAGCCCAACAACATGCCCACCGCCGCTCCGCCCAAACCCAAGTCCGTCAAAGAGCTGGAGGCCGAGAAGACTTCCCAAATCTCTCCCTTCAGGGCGACGCTCACTTCCGCCGGCGCGTACACCGGAGGTCGGTGTGCTTGAATGTGTCATTCACGTGTGAGGGAAGTTCAGGAGTTCTCAACGTGGGCTCCCCCCCCTCTACCCCCTGGACTTCGTTTTGCTTTAATTGTCCTCATTGGACTCATGGGTCAGCCTTCGGGAGGTCGGGGTCTGCGACGAGGTGGAGGTTAATCATCAGCTCTTTTAGGTCAGCGCCGGAATGCGCACGGGGAAGTGCGAAGTGTCACAGCCAGATAAAAGCGAGCGCTCGCACACTGACACCCCCGAAACGGGCACCCTCTTAGTGTCAGGAAACGCGCGGTATAAAAGCGGCGTCACGCCGAGCGTTCGTTTGAAGTGACGCCGCCGCCGCGGCTCTCCGCGGTGCCGCGCAGGGGCGGCGTGTCAGTGCTCCACACGCACTTCATTTCGAATCACACGTTGTCGTCGGCCACCGTCGTTAGGCGCGCCGACCACTCGCCACTTCCTGCTTCCCCGCTCGTTAAAGTGGACGTGTCACGGAGTCATTTTGAAAAAGAAACTTTCGTGCTGATGGGGCGTCGGGAGAGTTTTTCACGTGGCAACAGGAAATGAGGAAAATGTGCATATGCCGAGGTGGCAAACGACTCAAAACTCCATTAGTGGGATTGGGCTAGAAGAAGAAATTGGAAATAGCACGGTGGCATAGTGGTTGGTGCATCTGCCTCAACTGATGCCACCGTGAACAATCAATGAATCTTTTTTTTTTTAACGCATCTGATGTCATTTTAAATGCTGAACGCTTTCCCTCCTTCGCTTCAGGCTTCACCACGCTGTTAGGTTTGGGTTTGGCGGCTCCCAACGCCGCCTTCACCCAGATGGTCACCACCTTCGGCTTGGCGGGCATCGTGGGATACCACACCGTGTGGGGTGTCACCCCGGCGCTCCACTCGCCGCTCATGTCCGTGACCAACGCCATCTCAGGTCAGTGGTGTGCAGGATTGTTTAGGTCCGCAATATGGACAGTTTTGTTCGGATGCGTCACTCACTGCGCTGTCTCAATTGATTTTCATTTCTTCCACTCGGATTGGCCAGTCATCATACAGTTTTTTTTTTTTCCCCATAGCGGTAATGCTACATTGAGACCAAACGTTAGCGTAGCGATTCGGGCGCGACGACTCTTACGTAGGCAATGCGCTTCTCGGCATCCGTGTGCAATTTTAAAGACGAAAATGTAAATCTCCTTCAGTCCAAATAAAACCTTCAAAAGATCGCGTTCCCGTCGTTGACTGCCGCTTAACACAACGGGGTCCAAAGGTCGGGGAGGTAAGTGCACGTGTGTGTTCTCGTGGCTTTGATCACCCCGGCGACCCACGCTGAGGTAGGAAGTAACACAACCAGCGGTGATCTTTGGGGGGGTCAGGGTGGTCTCTTTGCTCATTTAGTCGCGCGCGGCTCGCCCAGACATCAGAGTGAGGCCGCCGAGCCTCGGCGGGAACGAACGCGGACACTTTTCACATCCTGTTAAACTTTTATTGGCCACTAGGCCTGTACTGCTTTTTATGTTTACATCTTTGCTCGTCTCATATGCTCCTCGGGGACTTTTCCTACCCTTTGATTCTTTGTGAAATTAACCTTATTCTACACAAACTCTTAAATATGAATGTGAAGTCATGGAGTGTTGTCGCAGCGGAACAGAAATTCGGGGCCCGCCTGTTTGAAGCACACTACTTGCTGAAGTCCTTTTGAATGCCGATTGCCATTCTTATTGGGCGTACGTCATTAATGCAATCAAGTGGGGCGCACACTTATTCTGGAATCTCCAAATCTGGAAAGGATTTTTTTTTTTCCCTTAACTCCAGGGGTCTTCACCCAAGTTTAGAATGTCGTATGAAAGCATACCGGACGTAATCTTCCCAACGTCTACTGCGCGCAGGTCTCACGGCCGTGGGTGGTCTGGCCCTGATGGGAGGTGGCTACACCCCAACAAGCACGGCGGAGACACTGGCTGTGCTCGCCGCCTTCATCTCCTCAGTCAACATAGCTGGTGAGTCCCTTCCCGACACACACACGCACACACACACACACACGCGCACACACATGCGCGTGCCGACGCAACCTCACGGTGATCGCCGTCAGCACCGGCCAATAAAACGTCAGTGTCAATGTTTGATTGACAGGTTTTTGATACTGATTGTACGAGAATATTCCTCTTGAGCCAGCTCCACAGCCCCCCCTCTTTCATACCCACCCGCTCTGATCAAGCTCCAGTGGCTTTTTGACGCGGTATTCCCGCCGAGCTGTTTCAACTGTCCAAGCGGTCGCCACGGCAGTCACGGCGCAGACGAGAAGCCCTCGTCCGCCAAAATAAAAGCGGGTCACAGGCAACGAAACCTGACAGTCTCTAATAGGGCATAACACAGATTGGAAGCGGTCCATAGTGGAATGTGAAGCAACTTTAACCGAAGCCATGTGTCACATAACTGTTTTTAACTATTACTATTAAATAAGAAGGAGCAGTGCGTGTACGAATAACGGGTTTGGGTACAAGAAATGGATTAATTGTCAACCCGAAAATGAATCGAACATTTATTGAGCGGTGGTCCACGTGACCCGCGGGGCCAGCCAAGCAAGCTTGATTTGATCGACTGGGGCAACAAACATTGTTCCAAAAGCTGCCCATCATCTGCCTTTCATCTGTAGAAAGACTCGACATAACATAACATGTCAAAACGTGAGGAACCCCATCAGAATGTGAAGGGCTTGGGAGTAAACATACTGGCATGCGTGGTAAACCGCTGGCCTGAAAGGTCGTGTGCCTTTGAGCCTTTGGGGACTCGACGGCTCCATCACCCCCCCGCCGCCCGTCACTGATACCGTGACAGATGGTGAAACTTTGAATTTGGGGTGCAAAAAAGGCTTTGCGTTTTGATGACTTGAGCCACTTTCGTGTTGTCAAATACTCCAACCAAGACATTTTTTTTTTTTTTGAACTCTCCTTTACCCTTGATTCATCCACGGTTCAAAATGTACATCTCCCAAGCGGTATACCGCTAAAGCCACAAACCTCGGGGAGCAGCCAACCTTGATTCCATGCAAATGGATGACGCACGCGACTTGGCTCCAAATTCATGCACTCCGTCCGTTGAATTTTGCGCACCTGTTTCGAAGAAGGCATCGCATGACGGGGCTTCTTGTTCCCGCAGGCATGTCACGTGGGCAGCAATTACAACGCATGGTCACGAGCCATCACTCGCGTTTCACGATGAGAGCAACGTTTTAACAAATACAGTTCGACTTAAATCCTCCATATGCCAGGCATTTTTTTTTTCCAATAACATTTGAAAGGGGAAGTCAAGTCAAAAGTTTTCTTGACCATAATACGGTTTAAAGGTGATATATTGCGTCAAGCGCCGCCTCTACGGTGGACATTTTTAAAAAGCAAGAAAAACATTTTTTCGACGGGCATTTCAGCAAGACTAGATTCTTTTTTTTTCTTTGTTTGCTTTTATTTGAACCGCGTGAAGCACTTTGTGAGTCCGCTATGTGAAAAGCGTGGTATGTATATGCGCCTTTTTTCTTGTATGTCGGGATGCTCAATTATCGTGATGCGCATACCTCGCTTAAGCTTCCATTTTGTTTGGCCAAGGTGGTTTCCTGGTGACTCAGAAGATGTTGGACATGTTCAAGCGTCCCAGTGATCCCCCGGAGCACAACTACCTCTATCTGCTTCCGGCTGGCGTGTTCGTGGGCGGATACGCTGCAGCGCTGCAGTCGGGATACAACATTGAGCAGGTGGGGGAATTTTGATCTTGGTCATGTGCCTGTAGAATCCGCTGCGTCCATTTTAAGAGTCCATCAAAGTCGTACTCCTGCATGTAAAAGTTAGGTAATCATCCTTTTTATGTGGTCTTTGTTAGTCCAGATGTTGAACAAATCATCCATGTAAAACAGTCTTTTTTTTTTTTAATCATTGTACATTCCCTCCTCTCACCAGATGATGTACTTGGGTTCCGGAATGTGCTGCGTCGGCGCCCTGGCTGGCCTGTCTAACCAGTCCACAGCCCGCCTGGGTAACGCCCTGGGTATTATGGGAGTCGCCGGCGGCATCGCCGCCACTCTGGGAGCGCTCAAGCCAAGTCCCGAGCTCCTGGCGCAGATGAGCGCCGCAATGGCCGTCGGCGGAACCGCCGGTGAGTCTGAATTTGTCGTCGCGTGATTGTGCCACGCGGGAGACGTGTCCTGTTTGGATGTGCGGTGTGTGTGTGTGACGTCGGCTTGGATAGATTAAGAAGCAGGTGCGGGGGGCGTGCAGATGAGCTTTGTGATGTGCGCATCAAACAGATTGTTGCCGCCAGATTCACAGGGTTGGGTCTCGGCTCGTTAGAATTGCGCGTTAGTCACTATCTCTTACTTAGATCATTTAATTGAAATGCTAATTGTTCCAGTCACAAAGCCGAGGACCAGACTAAACAGTTCACGTCATCTCCGTCGGTCCAAACATGGAAAATGGCCAAACGGGCCATCGGCAACGCATAGTTTCTTTGAGAAAGGTCTTCTTCCCGGCAGCTCTCTGTTCGTGTTCACGAGATTTGCATGTCCTCGCATGTCTGTGCGCTTAATCACTTGTTTCCTCCTCTGCAGGTCTGACGATCGCTAAGAGGATCCAGATCACCGACCTGCCGCAGCTGGTGGCCGCCTTCCACAGCCTGGTGGGTTTGGCGGCCGTGCTGACCTGCGTGGCCGAATACATGGTGGAGTATCCTCACTTTGCCACCGACCCCGCAGCCAACCTGACCAAGATCGTGGCCTACCTGGGCACCTTCATCGGCGGAGTCACTTTCAGCGGCTCTTTGGTGGCTTACGGCAAACTGCAAGGTTGGAGATGGACTTTTTGAGCAAATATATATCACTGCGTAAAAAGTCGAGGGCGATTGTGCGAAATGGATTCAGCACGCTGAACAGACATGTGCATTCTAAAGTTTACACAGGGTCAAATTTAACTCTGAAGAACCCTTTTTCTTCTTTGGAAAATGATGAACTTTACATTAAATGACTGCTATATGTTCACTGATCACCAAAATATATGTTTTTTCAAATATTTAATGCTTTAATCCTAATTTAGGATTAGGGCCAAATTTGACCCTTTGGGATTTTAGGGTAGTATTTGAGTAGCAGAATTTATAGGGGCCAAATTTGACCCCGTGGGTTCTCCAGGGTTAAGTTCACCTTAAAGGGTTTTCGTGCATTTTACGTTCATCCCAAAATTTTGTCCCAAAAGCTGCAACGGTATCACCCGAACAATGTGAATCCAGTCTGAAGTGGTGACGTTTGCTCCTCTTCTTCTCCTCCCCGTCCCGCAGGTATGCTGAACAGCGCCCCCTTGATTCTTCCCGCCCGCCACGCCCTGAACGCCTCTCTGATGGCCGGCAGCATCGGTGGGATGATCCCTTACATGCTGGACCCCAGCTACATCACGGGCATCACCTGCCTGGGCTCAGTCTCCGCTCTGTCTGCCATCATGGTACGGCCCGTCGTGTGCGGACGGTTCTGGAGCGCGGCCACGTGCGCACAACGACGCGTTCATTTTTTTTTTTTTTTTTTTTTTTTTTTTAATGGCGACGTTTCGACGCGCGCAAATCGGAATCTTTTCATGCTGACGGCCGGCTTATGCAAGAAGCTCGATTTCTTATTTCCATCGGGAAGGGGGTCAAGTCGGGCCAGAGAGAAGCTAGTCAATAAGAGGCCTGTTGCACTGGCACCAGGCGCTGCCCAGAAATCTGTTAATAGTCTGGCAAACGTCGTGGCAAAAAAAAAAAAAAAAAAAAAAAAAAAAAAGTCTACTTTGTGCAACTGCCAGCTTCCTGCTTGCACTTGACTCTAATTATATTGGGCTTCACCACTATAAAGTCACACTTAACCTTTTAAAAACGTTCACCGCGAGTTTCGCTCCCTTGACGCCGAACTCAAATTTTAGCTGCAGAATAACGAACAACTCTTTGACCTCAATTTCTTTCTGTCATTTAACTCTTCACGTTTCTAGCGAACCGGAGTCATGATGACACATTGAGCGATCACAATAACCAGCGGCTGCTTTTGGGAGGCGTTTTTTTTTTTTCCCCCCTGCTACCTTAAAAATCGATCATAGTTAGCAGGGGAGGCCAATTAATGAGGCGAAATGCATTTCAGTCATTATTATAATAATAATAAAAAGATGTTCCATTGGTAGCTTAGCAAATGAGCTCTTAGCCGATCCACACATCTGCACGTCGCCCCGACGGATCGATCAGGGCTTGGCTCCGAAATGTCTCGTCTCCAATCAGGCTCTTATCACCTCATGTGTCATTTTCAATGCAGGAAGCTTTTGGATGATGATGATGATGATGATGAATCCGTTGGCGTTTCTTTTTCAAAGCTGCTTTGCTTTTTTTCACGGCGATCCAAAACAAAGCACTCTTTCGTGTCAATGTATTACATCATCATCTCTTGTGTTTTTTCAATTTTCGAATCACAGGTGTCTCGGCCCTAACGTACTGTTCTGTTTTGTACTCCAGGGAGTAACCTTAACCGCGGCCATCGGCGGTGCCGACATGCCGGTGGTGATCACCGTGCTGAACAGCTACTCGGGGTGGGCCTTGTGCGCCGAGGGCTTCCTGCTCAACAACAATCTCCTGACCATCGTCGGCGCCCTCATCGGATCGTCTGGCGCCATTTTGTCCTACATCATGTGTGTGGTAAGTCGCGATGGATGACACAGGAGCACATTTTGCAATTGGGACAAAACACCTGGCCCCTTCCAAACAGCCTGTTTGAAGAACACGTCATCAAAATAATCCCAGGATTCAGGCAAGGCAAGGCAGTAGCCAGACCTCATTGCTTGAAAGTGGCTCCGGATCATCACCCAGCTTTGCCGTTCATGTTATAGGTGGAAAAACGGTTTGCAGATTATGTCTCACTGAAATGACAATTCTGAAGGCTTCGCTCAGACAACGATGCCTTGCTCAAGGGCGCTTCGACAGTCGTCAGAAAGCAGATTAGCATTTCTCTCACACCTTCTTAACAATGAGTTTGCTGAGTTTTATGTGGAGTGCAAAAAGCAATGAATGCCCGATCTTCTGTACCAATTTGGCAGGATATCTGCATGGGAACATTTGTGGAACGAATATGGTCAAATAATTGTTCCTCTCGTGTCCACCAGGAGGAACTGTCATGTTATCATCGTGGCTAGATTGTTGAGGAGCTAAACCTCAGGCCCTCGCGTCTGCTTTTCAAGACAATTTACCCTCAATCCTGACTTTTATTCAAGTTGACACAAAACGAGACGATAAAAATAATGAAAGCGACGCTTCCCATCAGGCCATGAACCGCTCGCTGGCGAACGTCATCCTGGGGGGCTACGGCACGTCTTCCACCGGTACCGGGAAGCCCATGGAGATCACAGGGACGCACACTGAGGTCAACGTGGATCAGACCATCGACATGATTAAAGAGGCCCAGAGCATTATCATCACTCCAGGTAACCCCCTTTTTTTCCCCCACCCCCTTTCCAGTCTTTGGAAAAGTGCATATTCTGTTTCTTTAACCCTTTCTTGACCCGTGTTACATCACCGTTTTGCTTGGCTAATTGACAAGGTTGAAACCCCCCCCACCCCCAATGCACACTTACAATGACAGGAGCACGCAATTCTTGTGTGGTCGTGTCTCATAAATAGACCGGCTACAATGCAATTATTAGACATGATGCAAAATATGTGGATTTTTTTTTCTATTCACCATTCAGAATGAATGTATGATATGTAGGACAGGTTTCCAAAACATACAAACATAGCCAAGGTTAAGACAAAATGAACAGATGGGTACGCATTTCTATTGATTTATTTATTAATTTTTGCCAATTTAAGGAATTTCACTTTTGTGAGTGCAAAGGTGTCCCCACAGTTTTCACGTACGGTGGTAACATCACACCAAAGTTGTTGTGGACATATGTCAATGTACACTTTACAAAACATTCATTGACATTATGCCTCTTTTTTTTTAATGTTTTTATAAAACACAGTTCTATTTTTCGTTATTTTAAAAATACGTGAAAAATAGTGTCGAGGCTTACATGACAATAGTTTGTTTTGTAATTTCCAGGTGTAAGAGACTCATTTAGCACATTTAAATGAACGTTTACAAACTTGTGAAATTTTTTTTTTGTTTTTAAATTCACTTTGTGCCCGTATACTATTGTGATACAATATTTGACTTTTCTGCTACAAACGGACGAGAGCAGTGATCATGTCCGACAGCCGAACCGAAAAGGCGCCAAAATAAAGTCTGAGTTGGACGCGGTGGCGGAAAAAGGCTTTCGATTTGTTTTTCTTCATCTTTTCAACAAATAAAAAAAAAAAAAAAAAAAAGAATTCCAGAAATATTTTTTTTAAAGTCAACATGAGTCAAAATATGAGAATTTAGAATAATCACAACAAAGCCTTGTCAAGGATACTCGCGCTGTCACAATTACTTCGAGGTCAGTGGAGCCATCACATGATACAATGTTTGATTTACGTTTTTTTTTTGTCCACGGAGGTTTAACTTAAATAAGGTGACCTCAAGTCGATCACAATGCAGTATGTCCCGTGTTAAGGTTTTACTGCCGCTGATGTCATAATTGCTGGAACACCGTGTAATCAAATGGCTGATTATTTTCTCTGCTGCACTAATCAGCCACTAGACTGCCGAGTGTTTGCCCTCTTTAGTCCATCACCGTGTTTCCACTGTGACCATTTGAGACCAATTGCAGCCGTCTGTCACCTCACTAGAGTGACATCTGGGCAAAACATTAAGAATTTTTTTTTTTTGACAGTAGGGGGGAATAAACGTGATTTGCATGCTTTGTTTGGGCCATCTCTTTTCGGGTTTATTTTTCTCCAAAATGTGGAATGTAGGGAAGCAGAGAGAGAACAACTGCGCAGAATCATTTTCTTCTTTCTTTTATCTTTTTTTTTTTTTTTTCCCCTTGGTGTCAGAAACTCTTAACTGTTTACCGATAATTGACGCATCCATGCGCGATGGTTTTTGACTGGTTGTTAAGGTTCGTTAGCACCATTGGAGCGTTTGGCATGTGGATGTGGGGTTTTTAACCCACTGTGTGATAAAGATCAAGCACCACAAATCAGCATTCTTTTTTTGTACATGACATAGTCACCGGCAGAATGGTCAGCTAGCGGTTAGCATGCTAACACTGAAGTTGAATCTCTATTGAAACACATTTCAAGGCATATAAGTGCATTTGTAGACATGGTTGAACTGATTTATGGTGGGATATTATTTTCAACCCTCAGATGAAAATACCAAAACATTCCCAAGTGGTTTTTGTTGACTCCCACGTCACTCACCAGACAAGGACGCTGGTTAATTGGTGAACTGGGTCAATGTTAATTTAAAAATGACCACTACAGTTCCAGTCTCCTTGCTACATTTCACATGCTCACTTTTCAGTCCTCCTTCGTGACATTACGCTTCGCCACATCTTACATGTCAACCCCTGTGGCAACATCGAACATTTATTGGTGATTTGGGCAGTGGAGCTCTTTTGAAGCTGGCAAGCTTACTGGGTTTTTTTTTTTTTTTCCTCTAACTCGCAGCACACTTTGCTCTCACAACTGCATTAGCACATTCTGTGGGATTGTAAAACTCTGTCACAGCGGGTAGTCGGTGAGCGGTTTAGGGCCTCGGAGGGTCAGCGGCAGACTGCACTTCAAAAATGTTCCTGCGGTGATTATACGGGGCTGAAACCGCCTGATCAGACTGAGGATCTTGTACTCCGCATGAACTGCCAATCACGCTGCTGCCCTGAATAGGCGCCTTTAACTGTCGTTACCATTCATGAAATTCAAAACGAGACGAACCCTATTAGTGGACAACAGGTTACCTTGAGTACCGTTTACCCCATTTCTCATCTTTTGGTGACCTCGTTTAGCTGTGTGAGTATCCAACTAAGCATAGACTCAAAAAAACAACAATAAATCACTTTTTTTTTTTTTTTTTTTTTTTACAGGTTACGGTCTTTGTGCTGCGAAGGCACAGTATCCCATTGCCGAGTTGGTGAAGAATCTCAAAGATGCTGGCAAGGACGTGCGGTAAGTTCCCCCCCTACCCCCCTTCCCCGAACTCCACCCTTGGCGATTCTTCTCCAAGTGAACATTCTTGACTTATAACGACTCCGCTGGACCGCAGTGATTGCCTCCTCACATGCACCCCCCCCCCCCTGTTTGTGATCCACTCGATTCGGATAAAACGTTTTCACCAACCAGCTAACGTTTGTCGTAATTGTCATGTGCTACAATGATGTCAATGACTGAAAATGGTATCAAGGCAAAAAGGGAAGGGAAAGTGGGGGGTCAGGTCAACAAGAAAGGACAATTAGAAAGGCCGAGCGGAAGCCGGTTTAATTGTCGCGCCTGCGTTGCGGCAGCTGCCGCTTTCCGAGCTACTTGGGGCATTTGTACTTGATTAGAGGGGAAAACGAGTGGTCAGAGTTCAAGAGAAGGAACCAAAGAGCAGTATTCCTTCTCTTTACTCGAATACTCTGGATTCCAATTCTCCCTGACTAGCATCCCATTTCATTTCATATTCCAGGTGTCCCGTTGGACCATAGACGTTCACGCTCGCTTCCCTCACGTTAACTGTGTCCAGTGTCTTTTTTTTTTTTTTTTTTTTTTCCCTTCCTTCAAATCCCGCCACCACCGCTAATATGTCCCAGATGCTGCGGGCCGCCTTACACTCTGCTCTTGCCTAAAATCACCAAACTAATACGAGTTGATCCCGATCCAAACGGCGGTTGCCACGACACGGCCACTTTATTCTCGTTTCATTAAACTAACATGTGCGCAGCAGGGGAATACATGACTTGATCCCCTGCTGGACTTGATCCCCTGCTGGATTTCGAAGTTGTGAATTGAGGATCCCCCCCCCCACACCCCCACCCCGCCAATCTTGATCAAAAATAGTAATTGCATGATGTTGCCACAGGTTCGGTATCCACCCCGTCGCCGGCCGTATGCCCGGTCAGCTCAACGTGCTATTGGCCGAAGCCGGCGTCCCTTATGACATTGTCCTGGAGATGGATGAAATCAATGAAGACTTCCCTGGTAAGTCGAACCGGGACACCCGAGTACACGTCCTCATCACGTTAGAACAGGGGTGTCAAACTCATTTCTTATTACACGTGAAAATTTGACATTTCGGTACAGATTTTAGCAAGGATCAAGGAAGTTGACACACATGATTTGTTTTTCGCGGGCCACATAAAATGATGTGGCGAGCCAGATCTGGCCCCCGGGCCTTGAGTTTGACACCTGTGCCTTAGAACATCAAACTGTAGGACGCAACAAAATGGAAATGTTACTTTTGAATGGGTTTGTATAGAAAGACTGTAGTTGGATCTCTGGAGGGTCTGCCCACCGATCAAATTGTGAAATAAACGATCAAGTAAAGTCGTGTTGCCTCACTCGTCGTTAACCTTTGACGACTTTGATGCTCGATGATACTCGATGTGAATTTTACCACGGGACTTGGAACTATTAAAAGGCAACTAGGAGTTTTACCTCAATTTAGTTCCAAGAAAGAAAGAAGAGGAGGCGGTCGTACTTTTGAGACCCGAGGCCCCTTCAAGTTTGGATTCCACCGCATGATGTGATTTGTCAAAGTGCTGCAAGTACAAATAAGTAAACGTTAACACGTTTCACGGAGAGTGATCTCCATGGCCCCGTTTGAACACGCGCTGGTCTATCAGCAGTATCGACTTTAAATTTCATTCTGGTGTGTCTAATCAGAGACCGACCTGGTCCTGGTGATCGGCGCCAACGACACGGTGAACTCCGCCGCCCAGGAAGACCCCAACTCCATCATTGCCGGCATGCCCGTGCTGGAGGTCTGGAAGGCTAAACAGGTGAGACACATCTGGCACACGCCCGCGCCGTCATAACATTCACGTCCCCCGGGCCCAAAATAGATAAAAGAGCAACAGACGAGTGAATGTTGCGAGAAACGGGAGAGAGAGAGAGAGAGAGGGATGGTTACAGCTCCAGGTGCAGTCCCATCCTGATCCTATTAGGGCTGACTGTGTCGTTGTGGAATGGCGCTGCTCCGAGATCTGGGATTGGATACGCTTTGCCCACAGCAATCTTTACTCAGAAAAAAATATATATATATTTCAAGATTACCCAATTAAATCAACATGTGAATAGGCACGAGCCTATTGCCGGCCGGCTTCTATCTATGCCTCGGTTTTGAAATATCATGCTGTCAAAACCCCAAAACTTTGCATTCGCTGTCTGAACTGTTTGTTGGTTTTGGGTTTTTTTTTTTTTTTTGTCAGTTTTTTTTAGGCGTTAGTGCAGGCCAAGTAACATGATTCTTACCCCTCTAATTGTTGGCGCGGGCAATAAATGAACCCGATGACATTTCCCCTTGTCAAAAAAAAAAGTTGTCTCCATGGGAGATTTTTGGGCTACGACACAGGGCTGAAGAATTAATTGAATTCAAATGCAATGTAGTTCGAAGTAACATATATTTTTGCTTTTCTTCATCACCCCTTTTTTTTGACTGGTGCAACTTATTCTCCAGAGCAACTTGTAGTCCGAAAAACACGGTCATGATTATGCTGCAACACCCTGACAGGGGATTCTCTTTTTCACTGTATCGGTATCAAAGAAAGATGGATGATTTATATTTGTGGCCTAAGCAGGGCTACGTGATATGGCTCAAAAGAATGAATGCCTTGCATTTCGAAATCGGGGTTTTCTGTCTGTTGCTATTGTTGCAACTGAATTTGGTTGCGCACCCACCAAACTGGCTTTCAATATAGATTTTAACTTTTTTCTTCAAGATGCATTCACAGATACATTCACAAATGTGGAATTGAGATGTCACACGCCCTCGTACATCTGTGTTGTGTGTCTTTAAGTGAATGACGTTACTCTGCATGTTAGCGTCTGCTCCATGCTCCTTGTGAGTGTTTTCATTTTGCTTTTGTGACTTATTGTCTGCCCCGTTCAGTAAACGGCCAAAAGAGCATCGGCCATTTTTTCCCCTCACTTTACTCAAAGTGGCGGTTTATCGAAAGGTTGCCTGAAACTCAAAAATTTGGACGCAAAAATATGAGTCTCGTCGCGACTGTAAAATAAAATTCTGTCGTAAACTGAGGACTGCCTCCGCCCCATAGAAATAAAAGCCGTCTGTTTGTGCACTTAACCACACAAACGCGCGCGCAGTTGGAGCAACATGCACTGTTTAGGAAAATGCTTTTAAACAGTCTGCAAAGTGAAGCTTGAATAAGCCATTTCGGGGAATAAACTTCCTGACCTTTTCCGCTCAAAATGGCAACAAAGTGTGTTTTTGGCACACACGGGGATGAAATTATCACCTTCGATCAAGTAGTGGGAAGGGAATTCATGCAGCAGATGTTCGCGAATCCTTGAGTTGGAAGGGCTTCGGAATTTGCATACAGTGCAGCGGTACCTTGACTTCGGAGTCATCCGTTCTGTGATCGTACTCGGAACTCAAATTCAAATGGCCGCTAAGTTGGTGGACTGGCGAGGCGCTCGAAAAGGACAGAGCTTACCGTCTTGACGGTGTCCGCTCCGGTTTGCCGTAGGTGGTGGTGATGAAACGCTCGCTGGGCGTGGGATACGCCGCCGTGGACAACCCCATCTTCTACAAGCCCAACACGGCCATGTTGCTGGGCGACGCCAAGAAGACGTGCGACGCCCTGCAAGCAAAGGTCCGCGAGGCTCAGTGAGGTGCGCTCCGCCATCGCCCTTAAACCCCGCCTCCCCCCTCCACCCCCCCTCGCACATAAAGGGGGGCGCGGGGGCGGTGCGCATTTTTTTTTTTTTTTTTTTTTTTTTTTTTTTTTTTGCGGCAGCAGTCTCGTCGACGACGTCACGTCACCATTAGACAAATGGCAGCGGTTACCGTACAAGTCACGTTTGTGCCGTTACATATTTTAATGTTTAGCGTTTAGATGAAGGAAGGGTCTGCCATTTAGATTGCGGCGATCCACATTGAGTGAATTACATGTTAGACGTGTGACATTACACTTTTAGGAAATAGAGATTGAAACTCTCATGTATTTTTTTTTTCTTTAATAGCCGAGAGAGTGACATTTCAGAGAACGCCTTTGATTTATTTTTTGCCCCCCTTTTTTTTTTTTTTTTTCGACAATCCCTTTTTTAATAGATCAAATTACTGCAATGCTTCTGAAGCACGAGGGCACGTAAGCCCATTTTCATGACTGGCAGGAAAACAAAAGCAATATGATCAAAACAGTTTTGTAAAAACATTTTTTTACAGTCTCATACTGTATTGAGAAATGGTGAAGAAGTCATCGTCGCTTCTTGAATTACGATTTAATGGCCTCGTCTTGGACCTTGTTCTTCACTGTCCAACCGAAAGATGTATCTACGGTATTTATTCATTGTGATCTGTGAAAACAACAACAAAAGACATATTTCTGCGTCAGATGAACCTGAAGAATGTGGAGATTTTTTATTTTATTTTTTTTTTCCATGGAGAGCGATGAGATCTTGCGGTCAGATATTTCAGCTCACGTGCGTGGATAAATTGTAACCGTTTTTTGAGAAATGCGTAATCTGGCATTTATTATGTCCGTGTCGTTGCATTTTAAGTACGAGATTGTTTAACAAGTCCCATTCGGTAAGCATTCAAGACATGTCAAAGCCCAACTTTTTACTCCTTTAGGCTGGATTTACAGTGCAGGTCCAAGTGTCCAAATGATTTATTTCACGATTCAATTAAGATGTATCATATGGAAATGTTAAATTGGAATGCACCGCAATTTAAGAAATTTTTAAATTTAAAAGTTAAATACAACTGAACTGTACTTAGGCCGTGATTCTTTCCCCTACCACTACATGACGTACCACTATTTGAGAACCATTGCAATCCAAAGATCTGATTCGTTGCATTTTTTTTTTTCCTTCGACCCCATTTGTCCTAATTGAGCGCAAACATTTCAAATTTATCACTTGAATCGTGCGGTGTCAATCCAGCTTCATTCCAATGTGCGCCGTCACAACGAACATCAATTACACCCGAGTAGAAATGTATCGTTTGGAACGCTAGATGTTATTTTTCCTGGTTTGAGGAACAATAAAGGGTGGGGGGTGAGGGGGGGGTCGCTCCATTTCAAGTCTTTTGTAAATGTTCTGTAAGACCTGCTGGTGTGTATGAACCCCTGCGACCCTTCCGCCATCTTGACCACCGTTTCTCTCTACCTCTTCACATACACGACCAATAGCGTTTTCATTCTGACCAATCGTATGTCATTTCCATACTTCATTTTTTTTGGGACCCCGTCGTCGTCTTTTGTGTCTCGTCGAACCGCCTGACCTCAGTTGTGCTGCAGTCTAGTTTGAGTCGTTGGCGATTGTGCGCTCACATGCATGAAAACTTCCTGGAGTTGTCGGCACTGTTGGCGGAACAATTCGAGCTTGTTGCCCATTATTACAAAAATCATCATTTTACTGTAACTAGGCCAATTTGCAAATGTATGTTTTCTGGTGCCCCCGCCCCTCAAACGGAAAGTATTTTTGTAATGTGACATTTGTGAAGCACAGCTAGCGGGATTGGAAGCTTGAATGCACCATGGTAAGGAAACGTACTGTGGATGTTCTTTTCCGCTTTTGTTGATCATGGAGCATCATCCCTCAAAAAAAAATAAACTTGTATTTACACGAAGTACTGAATGCTGTGTGGTGTCTTTTTGTTTTTTGTTTTTGTCATACTACTCTACCCGGACCTTTCCACCAAAGTCACATGATGACGATTCTATTGTAGCTTCGGAGCGAATCGCCGATCAGCTTTTAATGAAGTCATTCAAAAATTGTCACTCAGTCTCACTTGGCGTCGTTATCGTTATTAATTTCAAATATTTTTACAGTAATTGTAGTGTGCTCAGGTTAATTAACTGAATGAAAAAAAAAGATAAAAATTACTCATGAAGTCACTCAAATATTTTTAACTGTAAAAGTATTTCTAAAATTGTCATTAGCTCCCATACATAAGTTCATCATTTTAATTGTTATGAATATGAGAAATAATAAACCACCTCTCTAACCTCCGTGTGTGTGTGTGTGTGTGTGTGTGTGTGTGTGTGTGTGTGTGTGTGTGTGTGTGACAGAGAGAGAGAGAGAGAGAGAGAGAGAGAGAGGGACACACACACACACACACACGAAGGGATTGCATGAGTGGGCCATGGGGGCCTCGTTACTAAACTCCAATGTAAATCCGAGTTTGTGTGACAATTTCAGCTCCCACCGCTACTTGATTTGGCATTCATCATCATCGGAGGGCCGTCTGGGGGGAAGCTGGCGTTAGGGCGGGTGCCCACAGAGATGAGACGATAGGATGATGAGTGCATGCGTGTGCCATGAGGGCGACCTCATCCGGTAACAAGTAGCACTCAGACAGGCTCTTATCTCCTCTGTGGGTACGCCACATCTGAGGGGAGCTGTCACTCGCCGCAGTTGAGGGTGAGATGCAGCGATAGCGATTGAAACATTTTTGGGGGGGGGGGGGGCTGAAAAAGTTTAGGACTATGAGGTTGTGTATGCAGGAAGTTATCACAATTCTTCAGGGTCTGGTGGTGTCGGTGTTAATGGTGAAGCGCCACTGTGTGATAACGGCTCAGGTGATCGCCTCCTGCCCCCGTTGTCACTTTGCCACTATTTATCCTCAACTGTGATGGATCACCCGCGTGCCTCTGCCACAATAAGCCTCCATCCTGCGCTCTTTTGGCCTGCGGCTTTGCGTGCACTTTGATGAGGAAGCAAATTATTTGTGGTGCAGTCGTTTTTGGTCACAAGTTTGGCTTTATTGTTATTTTGTCTTTGTGTTTGTCTATTAAAATGCACTATGTATTTGATATTAAAAAAAAGAAAGTCTAGACGGCAGTATGTGACGTGAGTCTGCTTTTTCGTGTTAAAATATGACCCAGATGGTTCAAAAAATCAAAATATTTAAATTGAATGGCATAGGCGAACCTTTCAATAGTCCTTCTAAGATGAAAGTAGGTTTCATAGCAGCAAAGTGGACAGTAGAATGTAAAAAAAAAAATTACAGTACCTCTACAACAGGTATTGGTGCACTAACACACTGGCCGACCATATAACAATACACACAGGCATATATTCTTTATCCTTTGTGAAGAACAACTAATATTACTGCCGTACTGAGGGGCGCTGAGTCTCCAGGATAGTCTGTATGTCTGTCTTAGGCTTCATTTTTTTTGGTTTGTTTTTATTCACTTATTAGTTCAGTGGTGCGGGGAGAGGAGGCCGGAACGGATTAATGGCATTTCCATTGATTTCAATGTGGAAAGATGACTTGAGACATTTCAGCGCAGGAAAGAGGATAAAAATCAGACACAGCCAGGTTGGGTGAGAAGAAAGTTTGCTCCGGGACGTTTTCACGTTCGATTCCAGTCGTCAAGTGTTTTAAACAGCATGCTTCACGACATGCCACGGTTGTTTCCAAAGCTTCTGTCTCACACTGTCATAGTCACCCTAGAGAGACCCGGTTTGTCCGTGGATGGTGTGTTAACACGACACCAAGTCATAACAAGTAGTCCACAACAACGTTACAGTTCATTATTTGAAAGGTTTTAAACAAATGCCACACAGGCCAGACTCGACACCGGGGCCTCGTTACATATGCGGCATTTATACGTGTTATCACCATGTGAGCATGAAGTAATGCTTGTTGAAAGGTGTGCAGATGCAATCGTGTTTTTGGTGGGATTTGTTGACAGGCAATGCCTCCTCCTCCTCCTCCTCCTCCGCCTTAGATCAAGTAGATTAGTGGTGTGTTTCTGAGTGTGTCATAATCAAGACCAAGGATGAAACATCTCCAAAGTGTTTTTTTTTGTTTTTTTTTAATCGGTGAGGGGGGGGGGGGACATCTGTTCCACATATCTTCCAACAAATGGTCAGTGTAAACATGAGCTATAACGTGTATCTGCTACTTTAATGACTTGCAGCGAAGCCATGTGACCGCCACACGTCCCCGCAGGGGCGACTGTAGTAAACATGTGCAACTATGCTTTAAACTCGCGTAACCAACAGAAGGTGCATCGTGCTCATCTGTCACGCCATGCAGGGGGAAGGAAGGCCGGTTGAGAGTCCTGCAGTTGTGTTGCTCTCGCTTGAACGTATGCACACTCACATTTTGATGGACTGCGTGAACAGCAGCAAAAATAGTCAGCGGCGGTGTCCCGCAGGAAATCACTTCTGCAGTCGGCAGCGTGATGGATAAGCTTTTTTTCTTTTTTTTTTTTTAATTTATTTTTTTTTGCACTGGCTGAGGATCAAAACTGTGACTGTAAACAACTGAAAAGGACCCTCTAATTGACGCCCTGATGATTGGTCATCGGGTGGGTCATTGACTCAACATGAATAAAATATGTAAATATAATAAGTTGTAGTTAATATAATAAAACTTTTTTGTTGCTAAAAATATATCACCACCATTTTCAGGTCTCGATAGTAATGAAATCTAAAGCGCTTATCTTGAAGTCAGCGCTTGAAAGGAGCGACTGCGGCATCGAGCTTGTCCTAAAAGCTCCCAGTCGGGCCTCCGGGATACATTGCACTTTCCGAAAGACATTTGCACTATGACAGCGGGAGATAAATGTCAAAGCAACCTGGCCGGCGAGCAACACAAATGACCTTTTTACTGTTCAATTTCATCGCTGCTTAGGGCCGGCTAATGTAAACATGG